GAGTCATTAAAAACATGAGATTTTTAAAATAGCTGAAAACATGATTAAAAAATAAATAAAAACAGTTGTTTAAAACTCGTGATCTAGCTTCATACCATCTTTGGTAAAAAAAAAACAATCAAAATAAAACAAACTATTGACGAAAATACATCACATCACAAAAAAAGGGGACCTATCTTAGTACAAAACAGAAGGAACATTTGTGTTTTATTCAATCACAGCTACATTCTATTTGATTAAAGATTTTTAAGTAAATGTCTACACTTTTCCACTACATTGGTGCTGTATATAGTGGGTTTCTTCTTATTTATAAATGTGTTATCAATGTACAGTTATTCGACCCAATATATTGTTTCGTTCTTAAAATACCAGCTATTGTTCTTTGGGTTTAGGCGGTTTTTGGACTGTGTGAAAAAATCCTCTCACATGTAGCACTTGAGTGTGGTTTAAATTAAACTACATAAATTTAGCATTACCTCTTTTAAGTTTTGAAACTGATAACCAGAAATATTCGCGACAAAATGCAAAAAACCAACGTTATTTAATATCAAACCATAAGATAAAAAATCATGAGATTTTTACTTGGAAGCATGAGATGGACAATGAAAACATGAGATCTCATGGAAAATCATGAGGAATGGCAACGCTATTGGTCGTGTTTTTACAAAGATTGTGCACACTCTGTCTGATGAAAAATTAGACACCATTGATATTGAGGGACCTTTTTTAGTAGCAGCTCCCGTCAGAATCACTTTACCCTAGCATTGTTAAATATTCAGTCTGTGCGTTCAAAGGTTGATGAATTGGAGTTGTTTTTGGAATCAGTCAATTATCCTAGTATATTGATTTTGGTTGAGCACTGGTTGCTGTTTGATGAGCCCATTGACGTGTCTGGTTATATGTTGATGTCTAAATTTTCAAGCAATTTGCACATGGTGGTACACTAATCATGATGGAGAGAGAGTTTTTGTCTAGGTTTAGGTTCATTACTGTTGATAGATTTGATCATTTGTTGGTTGAAAAAGATTTCGAGTTTTCTATAGTGTTCTGCAAGAAACTCAATATGTTTTTTTTCGGTTTTTCTAGATCTCCATCTGGTAATTTGGAGTTGTTTTTGGAGAGGTTGGAGATTTTGTTGAGCGACATTTCGGTTAATCCTTGATGATTTTGACTGGCGATCTCAATGTGAATTTCTTGGACAGGAGTAATAGATCCAATCAGTTACTGTGTAATTTGTTGAACTTAGAGATGCAAGTGGATCGGCTAACCCACGTTTCCGCATTCTCTGCCTCAATACTGGACTATTTCTGCACCAATTTCAATCAGATTGAAATTCAGTGTGTAACGATCAATGCCGGTTTGTCTGACCACGAGGCAGTAATGGGACTAGTACCATTTGGCGTTGAAGTCGATCAGGGTAGGTTTAGACGCGGGTGACTTTATACTAGGGCAAACTTTTCTAAATTTTCTTCGATTTGCCACCGATCGGAATGGATTGACCTCGGGAATGACGTTCTGGCTACTGTCAGCCCATTGCAGCAGTTTCATCAAATGTTGCTGAGTAATTTTGAAATTGCCTTCCCTATTGTCAGTATAAAGAAGCGAAAGAGAAAACCCTGGTTTACAAAGGGCCTGCGAACTTCGGGAAAAAATATGCGCTCCCTTCATTACATCAGAAAATTCTATATGAACAATCCAGTATTTTTAAACTATTTTGATAGGTACCGAAGGGTTTACAGAAGATCGATCAGGCTTGCCAAGTGGACTCACATTCAGAATAGGATAAATAAGTCTTCTAATAGATCAAGGGAGACTTGGAAAATTGTAAATGACCTAAGGGGTGGGAATAATGTTTCGATCACTTCAAGCAATCTGAATCCTGATGACCTAAATTCCTTTTACTGCAATATTGCCACTGAACTCTCAGCCAAAATTTCAACAGGGAGTGATCCCAGGAACAATCTGAAACATGTAGCAGCGGCTGAATCTTTCTTTCTAGCTCCAACTAATGCAGAAGAGCTTATATGTATACTCGGTAATATCAGGAATAAAGGTGCGTCGGGTTGGAATGGGCTCTCATTGAAGGTTTTTTTAGCTTTACCCATGGTTGCTTTGCAGGTTCTTGCTGAGGCAATTAACATTTCTTTTGTGTCGGGGGTTTTTCCATCTTGCCTGAAGAGAGCAGTTATTATCCCTCTATATAAGGGTGGAGAGCACGACTCTCCTTCTAATTTTAGACCTATAGCATTATTGCCTACTTTGGCTAAGGTTGTAGAGAGGCTTGTTAAGGTTAGGATGTTATCGTTCTTGAACAACCGTGGCCTTTTAAGTTCTCAGCAGTTTGGCTTTCGTGAATCCATGAGTACGGGGGATGCCATCTTTGACTTTCTTGAACACCTTTACAATAGTCTGAACTGTGGTGAGGTCGCTGCAGCGGTGTTGTGTGATTTTTCAAAGGCTTTTGACTGTGTGAGTCACTGAGTGCTACTGTGGAAACTCGAGCTGTATGGTTTCAGAGGAACTGACCTAGAGTGGTTTCGTTCTTACCTGTCGGATCGCGTTCAGACTGTCAAGTTTAATGGTGGTACCTCTAAGGAACTTGATATTAGTGTGGGCGTCCCACAGGGCTCGGTACTTGGTCCCCTTCTTTTCCTCATTTATGTAAATGATCTACCACATCTCCAGATAACGGGTAGATTCATAATCTTTGCAGACGATACCACGATCCTCTGGCATGATTCTGATGTTGGTAGAATAGAGGCCAATATGAGGACGGACTTGCTTGAAATAAAGTGCTGGTGCGACGCCAATTCTCTGACATTCAATTCAATATATCTAAGACCAAAATCCTCGAGTTTAAATGTGCTACCGAGGATATCTACTCGAAAAATGTACCCATCACTACGCCAATGTTTAATAAGTTCCTAGGTTTGTCAATAGACAGGTCTCTTAAGTTTAAAGACCAATGGCAAAAGAATGCAACAAAATTTCGTCTGGTTGCTATGCCCTCAGAGTTATTGCTAATAACCTAAATTTCTCCATTGCCAAATGTGCGTATTTCGCGATTATTGAGTCCCATCTTCGATACGGAATCTGCTTCTGGGGCTCTTGTTCTGACTATCTTTTTAGTTCAGTGTTCTTACTTCAGAAAACGGCCATCAGATACCTACTTGTGTGGAGCTAAACCTCGGGATTCGTTTCGCCCTCTGTTTCTGAGCCACGGTATTCTAACTCTCTGTTGTCTGTTTATTCTGGAAACGGCCTGTTAAGTCTGCAGGAAGTATAAGTGCGAATTGGAGCTAAGAGGCCAATACAATACGCGCCAGGATTACGTGATGAGATTGCCTATCCCACTCAGAACTCATCTGTAGCTCTATCATATATGAAGGCAGAAAATTATTTAATAAACTTCCTTTAAAGATCAGAAAGCTCAACACTGAAAAGAGGCTTCGTATGTTTTTATTTTTAGATTGTAATGTTTTTATTTTTAAATTTTTATGGTACCTATCTAATGATTTAATTTATGCATCTTTTATACATTGACTTATATTTTAATTGTATTTTTGTTTTTACTTTTATTTGTATTTTTATGTCTGTTTGTTATTTTAATTGTACATGTATTTCAATTTTTGGCATTTATTCTCACATTTATTTTGTTTTTTATTTTAAGACTTGTTATATTTAATTTTATTTTTTATATATTTTTATTCTGATTACTTTACATTGCCTGCGTGGCTGCTTTGTACATAAGATGTTTTTCTTTTTACAATAAAGCATATTTTGATTGATTGATTTGATACTTTAAATGCGATTGGCTGACGGATAGGTCGTTCAGAGGAGCTTTCCCAAAAGAGGTAATAATTGGAGTGGTTCAAGTCTATACGTGAGTTGCTGGCCACTATTTATATCCGTTTATCGCTGACTTTAGGCACCTAACATTAAATTTTGTATTGCCCTTGCTACTTTGATTCTTCCCACAAATTCAAGTCCCAAACTGTTACTACCTTGAGCAAGCATCCTAATAAAAATTTAGTTACCATTTAATAAATTCTAATACACTGGTATTTATTTATATAAATGGTTCATGGACTGGTGCCTAGTCATTTGCTTGACAAATGCGTTACTATACAAGGATATACATAATCATTTTACAAGATCTGCAAACAACTTTTATATTAGAACTGTGCATAGAACATTTGACCAAAAGATCTTGTTCCATAAAGGACTAAAACTACAATATGTAATGACTACCAAACAACGTGAAGAGCTGTGAATATCTAAATTCATTCAAAAATTGCTGTTTCAGATATCAGAAAAGTGACAATTGCACTATAATAATAATGTACTGTAACTCCTAATATTTTATGCATGTTAGCTTTAGGCTATTAATAAATATTATTATATTATCATTATTATTATCACTTCTCATCTCTGCTATCTAATGGTTGAAGTGCCTGCTTTTTTTTTATATTTTAATTTTATATTTTATTGTATCAGTAGGTATCTTAAACCATATTGGAAGCTTTGTTATCAAAGATTTGTATCTTCAAACAATAAAGCATATTTTGATTTGATAGCTTTCTAGATATTATTGTTCAAATTATCTGTAGACTGTAGCATAGATTTATCATACTTTTGCTTATTTGGTTCACATAAATCTAATTTTTGTGTTGATGAATTGGTTATTATTTTGACTATAGCATAGGAAGGTGCAATACCTACTATTTCTACCAAAAATTGCCAGCACATTGGAACAATGAAAAGCACTCTTTTTGTTCCCAACACTATTATCATATGACCTATATTATACTGGTCTTATCTTTCAAGTAAAGTATCAATAGCTCAAATAAAAGATAATATGACTAACCTGCTCTGAATCCATTATTTCACAAAATTAAGATTTCTACATTACTAATTCAAGAACATTAGATACAATGTATTATATTTTCTAATCAAAGTTCAAACTATTTCATTACGTTAGAACCTTGCTTGAAACTTACTTGATAAGGTCATAATTTCCTTCAGGAATGGTGACATCAATGTAGGACTTATTGTTCGTCGACTTCACAATGGATCCATCGATTTTTTGAATGTGTACTTTAAATTTATCAAAATCTTCCAAGTCTCTCTTCGAGTCCCCTAAACATTTTTTTATTTTCGTATGACATCTGTTTTTATTTAGCTAATTGCTTACCTTTTGGTACAAATCTCACAATGCTTTTTTCCATATTATCGCTCTAATTATGTAAAATAAATTATTAATACAAAAATATATTTTGTATTGTTTTGGCTTATCAGGATTTTCATTTAAATCCCTTGTGACGCCCACACTGTTTAACTGAAATTTTCAAATCCAAAAACTCTTTATCTGTGACTTTTTAGTATTTACACATTATCAAGACAAAATCGCATCAAGAAAAAAAAATAATAGAAAGTTAATAATAAATTTTGAAAATGTACAATTTTTTGACATATTTTCAATTTTAGAAAGTAGTGTTGTTGTTACCTGTCATAATATATTTGTAAACAAACATCTACTCTCATCAGAGAAAGATAACTACATTGGATATGATATGGGATGAACAAGAACGGATATACTGCGGAATAATGGGATAAAGGATACGGCTTTCTCTTTGTAACAAAATAACCATTGATCGAAGTCCGATTACTGCGAAGATGATCTTTATTCAAAATTTATAATTGATAAGGTAAGTCAGAGGTCAGAGGTTGTGGTAGACAATGGAAGAATCCATCAGCTCAATTTAATTATTTCTCGATGCTATTTTAGTCGATCTTGTGTTGCATTGCGATTGCGATTTTACTTTTCTATTGGTCTCCCAGTGACGTCATCAAAGATATAATAGCGCTTTCGACTTTTGCGTCAAAACTGCACTTGATTGACTAAAAAACGATTCGAAACATGTTCGGCTATAGAGCGTTGCTCTGGGCGAGATTCACGTGTTCGATTTGACGAGCTATAAGAACTAATAGAACGCTCTCAAATCTCGCTCTCGGAGCACTCCCGCAGAGATCTGAGTTGTGACGTCACCGCCCAGACAGGAGTGCTCTGATCTGAGGAGCAGTAAAACCGAAAATGGAAAGCGCCATCCCAACTTCGATTGCAACGTTGCCATCTATTAGACCCACTACACAAAAAATCCTAACCTCACTTTTTCAATAAACACCTTTTTTCAAGGCATGTGGAAAAAAGCACCAACAAAAAACTTATAAAACCATTTGAATATGGGCAAGCCCAAGAAAGCTGCTAAACGGCCATTTAAAGCAGAAATAGACAAATTGGAAATAAACGTACAGAAAAAATTAGACGCTGTTGAAGAGGAATCTGATTCGGATTATGAAGAAGTTGACATAGATCAGGCAAGTACCTCTCTCTGAACACTGAGATAACTATTATAGAAGTATCATCATGCTTTTCAAGTATTGTAGTTCATTTACTATATTTCTTGTAGCCAAAATTTTTACAAGATTTAAAAGTAAACGAAGACGACAGCTCAGATTCTGATGCTGAAATAGAAGCCAGCGAGGAAGATGAGGATCACGAATCTGCTGAAGAACAAAGTCAAGAAGATAATGACGATGTATCAAGTGATTCAGAAGAAGGTTTGTTAGTTTTTCAATTAATTGTCACCATAGTATCTGCAATTTTTATTTTTCCAGAAGGCGAAAATGATGGAAAAATCCAAAAAGCTGAATCCAGTAGTAAAAATACGAAAACAACCCAGAAAAAATCTCTTGTCAAACTTACCAGACCCATGTCCAGTGAAAATGGTGCAAACTCAACATTAACAAATAGGCAAAATGAAGAAGTAAGTGCAAATGAAAGTTCAAGTGAGGAAGAAGATGAAGACGAATATAAAGAATATGACACAAGTGATGAGGAAGATATCAGATGTACCGAGGGAAATATCAATAAAGCATGGTAAGAAATATTTTGATTTTATTCTAGTGTCTTAATTTATGTGTTTATGTTTATTACACGTTTATTATTCAGGGCAATAAGTGTTTTGGCAGAGACTGTAAACGAGTCATTCCCTAATGGCACATTTCCTCCTAGCCCTAAAAAGCTCTGGTTATACCATTGCATAAAAATTGTGACAAAATAAAAAAAACTCAAATTATTGTCTGAGTTATTGTCCTATATCTCTACTTTTCAAATACAAATAGTTTATTTCCATAGACATTATACAATATGTTTTGGCATTGTCACAAATCACAAATAAAAAATCCAAAAGTAAAGGCGTAAATAGTAAAAGTAAGCAATACAATGATAATAATACGAGTAATAATAGCACCAAACATCAACATCAATATTGATAGCATATCCAGTCCTACCCAGCGAAAATACATCCACATATAAGAACAAAGTACAAAAAATATGAAAACATATATGCAATATACCCTATGCCAGTAAAAACATAAATTACAAGAACACCTCCTGCTACTTTAGAAAACAAACAATAACGACTCTCCCAATGAATAAGAGGGGTTGGCAGCCAGTATGGTCTTCAGTTTCCGCTGAACAAGGCACACAGAATTAGCGTTTCTTAGGTCCTATGGTAGGTGGTTGTAGATTTTTAAAGTTGTTATCATAGGACCGTCCTGGATCTGGGTCAGTCTTGCACTGGCTATGTAAATGTTGCCTGAGTTTCTTGTCTGGTACCTGTTCATGTCCCCACATGTGATGTAACTGTGCCGATTTTCCAAGACTTTACATGCACTCTGTAAAATGTACAGGTTTATGACTAAGTATACTTTCGGCCTTAAAAGTTTGGCAACAGGACTCTCCAAACGGCAGTCAAAACATTTTCCTGAATATTCTTTTTTGAAAAGTCAGGACCCTGGCAATATCCATGGAGTTACCCCACACAAGAAGACCGTATGACAGAATAGAGTTTATTGCAGTGTAATAAAAAGTTTTTAGAGTATTGTGATCCACATGGTCTTTAAACTGTAATATAGCAAAATTCTTCTGCAAATGGTGTCAACTTGATCATGCCAAGACAGATGGTGGCCCAATGAAATTCCAAGGAATTTAACAGAGTACCACTGAACAAGACTGTTGGATCTATCCCTGATAAGCAGACCTCTGTCTTGGAAGATTCTCATGGGTGCAAATAGCACAGAACTCGTTTTGGTGCCTTTCAGACAGAGCCCGTTTGCCCTGCACCAATCAGAAACTCTGCGGACACACTAATCTGCCCTCTGACATAGCCCTTCATACCCTACATCTTCAACAACAATAGAAGTGTCATCTGCAAACAGCGTAACAAAACAGTCATTCGCATACAGTGGCAAGTCATTTATAAATAATAGGAATACAATAGGCCCCAACACACTACCCTGCGGTACACCAAATCTAACATTTATTCAGTCTGAGAATGTCGAATTTCCCCCATTTAATAATTTAACAGATTGAGTTCTTTACTTAGATAAGTTGCAACCCAGTCGTACGCCGGTCCTCGTATGCCATAATGAGATCCATGGTTGGAAAAAGTAATAAATAGTATTTGTTAACACAGAAAAGATTCAATAGCTCATTTTTACCCGAGAGGTTATGTAATAGAAAATAATTATGAAACACCGGGTTGTTCTTTTATGCGATAGCCAACTCGCGACTGCGACTGCCCTAGGAATTCACACAAAAATGTCACTTTCCTTAAAACAGGTGTGGACGAGTTATTGGAATTTGGGGGGAAGAAGCATATTAAAAAGTTGTCCCTTCTTGTGGGTTTTTTTATGTTTTGGGAGAATTGTTATTGCACCAATACTTGTGACCAATGCAATAAGGATAGATTGCACCATAATATAAATAATATAAAAATCAGGAATAATTATTAGAAAATCCAACAGTATTTTTACTTAATTTTCACTGATTTATTTACAACAGTAACATGTTTCGTTACACTGTAAACTGTAACTGTAGACTACAAGTCTTATGAAGCTACAGTGTAGCGAAACATGTTACTGTTGTAAATAAATCAGTGAAAATTAAGTAAAAATACTATTATTCATCACTTTTTCCAACCATGGATAAATTCAATTTTCACCAAGTATCGGCTCAATCAATTCAACCATAGTGGGATATTTTATTCAAGAGTTTGTGGTGGTCTATAGTGTCGAAAACCTTAGTGAAATCGTAAAATATACCCACTGACTTCAAATTTTTGTTGAAGTTTTCTCATATTTTTTGAAAGGAGGACAAGATGACATTGGTCGTTGAGCGACCAACCCTAAATCCGAACTGGTGACATGTTGAACTTATCCAAAAAACTCATCAGTCTTCCGCGAAATGCCTTTTCGAAAATCTTTGAGAACACCAACAGGATGATAATAGGCCTTTAATTTTCCACTAATGATATGTCCCCTTTTTTATGGATAGGGACAACGACCGAGCTTTTTAGGTCCTTTGGGAAGTACCCGTGTTCAAAAGAGATATTTATCAATTCTGTTGATGGATGCACAATATTTTGGGCACACTTTTCAGATTGCAAGGTATTTCATCAATATTACATGACTTTTTACTGCTGACCAATTTCAGAATTTCAAGAACATCTAAGTCACTTAGTGGTGCAAGGAATCTCGTTTGGGAATTTTTGTTGCAGTTTGGCAGATCCATGACCGGACTCAAGCCTGTTTCAGTGCTGGCGATGAGGTCTTCTACAGACTCCAAAAAAACCATTGAACGCATTTGCTATGCTTATCGGATCAGTAACTGCAGTATCGCTTACCACAATGTTTTCAGGTAGAGGCTTTTTAATGTTCTTTGGGTTATTTGTATGAGAGTTGATGATCTCCCAATCCGTCCTAGTGATGTTGTCCGATGTTAATATCCTGTCGGAACTTTTTTGCCACGGAAATATTCCTTTTATGTGCCTCAAGTTCATTCCTGTATCGCATTTGGAGCCTATGGCTGCCTGATATTTTCACTTGTACTTGAAGTTTTCTCAGATCTGAACCCTACTTTACCAACTCTGAGGTTATCCAGGAATTTTGTTTTTTCCTATTGTGATTACTTCTCTTGTTTCTTAGGGGAAATGATATGTTAGATAGTTCATTAAAAGTTGAAAAAAAGTGAGTAAACTTGTCCTCCAGTTCAAGTGGATGGAGGTCTATAAGCCATTTTTGTTTCGATAATGAATAATTGTAAAATAATTATAATAATTAAAATCACCAGATATAAACAGCAGTAGGTTATTTTTAGTTAAAAACACAATTTTTCAAGATTCTGTCAAAAACAATCAAAGTTTGTACTGGGAGGACGGTACAATACACAAGCCATCAAACGGGTATTGTTGAAGGTTTCAATCAGCAGTTTCAAAATTTCCTTCAAGACGTGGAACACAATTCATTGACCGTCCCTGCTTGCAGAATTTCTGGTGCACAAACAGTGCGACACCCCAAGCTCTAGAGCAGCGGTTCCCAAACTGGGGGGCGTGCCCCCCTGGGGGGGCGTGAAGCAACATTAAGGGGGGCGTGAGTCTTCTAGAAAATTAATACAAATTTTAAGATTTAAAATAAAAAAATCATTTAAAATTTAAAAAAGATTTCTACAATCCGACAACAGCGCATGCCTAAGCCAAAGCAACTTTGCCATGCGATAATGGACCTTTCTCATTTTACCTGTGCTGCGCGCGCAGCTTGTGGGTGACAGATAATAAAATTGTCATTTGAATGAACGCGGGAACGCGGTCTGACCCTGACGTTTTTTAGGCTAACCTCAATACCCATATAGCACAAAATATTTTTGGGATATTTTTTTTTGATCCAACAATGGATATTTTTTGAACAACGCTAATAAAATATTTTTAAAAGATTCAAAGAACATTTGTGACCACACATTAGTTTGGAAATGTTCAAAAAATGTTTTTAAAATGTACTCAAAAAATACATTAGTTGTACAAACATATCCAAAATAATATTTTTAAATGGATATTTTTTGAACATCAGAAAAACGTAAAAGAAATATTTTTTCCCCCACATTTGCTGAACATTTTTAAAACATTCAGTCTCTAAAGTCTGGCTCGAGACTTAGGGCGGGTATTATAAAACTATTTTAACAGACCAACTAAAAGTTAACTTTTGGAATGACAAATTGTGCGATTGTTTTGGACCGTTCTAGAACCATCCTTTTTTCGAACCAAAACAAAGCTTTTCATTTGATTTAACTTTGTCCTTGTTTCTAGGCGCCATAACCAATCAATATTGCTGAAAATTATTACAAAAACTGTTTATTATACAATGGTTCAAATGTGTTGTGTGAGATCTTGTCAGAGTAAGGCGAAAAAGAAGTCAAACCTTTCTTTTCACAAGTTCCCAAGCAATCAAATTTTAAAAAGACTGGTTACATGCTCTCAACCTGACTGAAGAAGATTTAAGTTGGAACAGAGGTTTGAGGGTTCGTTTCGTAAAATAACGATTTCTATATCAAATACAATAATAATTGTACAATTAAAGGTATGTTAGCACTTGTAAATTCGTACTTCTCGAACTTTTCTAAACTTTTCCCCCACATATTTGTCATATTTACATTTAAAAATAAACAAATAAACAGAAACATAACCGAAATTACACAATTTGACAAGTGGAACCAAGCAAAGTCATTCCACACAGGTATCGCGAGCCATTATAGGTGTCTCTTTCTTTATTACATAAATTTTAATAAACTAACCTTGTTGTTCATTGCATGAGAAAGGTCCATTGCTACTAGAGATGCCACGAATATTCGGCTACTATTCGGTATTCGGCCTATTCGGCCATTTTTTTTTGTATTCGGCCGAATAGTATTATCCGGCCGAATATTTGGCCGACTACCGAAAGCTGAATAATGAAAAAAAACGAACATAATACTCAAAAATGTATCTATTTAATAACAAGTCACAATGAATCTAATACTTAAAATCTATTAAATAGGCAACTTTTCATTAATTACTGGTGCTATTTTGATAACTTTTTCTAAAGATAAACTGATAAACAGTAGTATAAGTATTAAAGTAATAACGTGCGATCAAAAGAATATAGCTAATAATGCGTAAAATTGCGTATTGTGACACTATATATTCTCAAATGAACCAAATTCCGTCGTTACCGGGGGCGACGCTATAAGAATGAGACTGGTCTGCACAAAACCCACAGATCTGCTATTCGGCGGCAGAATATTCGGTGCTACAAACGAGAGCGTGGCCGAATATTCGGTATTCGGCCAAATCACTATTCGTGGCATCTCTAATTGCTACAGCGCACGCTCGCTGCCCACTGTCATGCCAATTCCTCCCCTTCCAAAGTTCAGAACTGCTTTCGGGTGCCATCCGTTGAGCGCTCCCGAGTTACTCCGAAGTACTCCGGCTACAGTTTGACCCGTTCGGTTTCAAGCGTTCGAGTGCAAAACGCGTGGAGTATGACGAGTCACTGATGGGTGTTCTAAGAGCACCCGAAAGCGTCTCTGTTCAGACGAAAGAGTAAGTAAAAAAAAAGTTTTTGTATAATGCGTGGTATAATGGGGGAAGGAAGGGGGGCGCGACTACTTCTTGATTTCAGAAAGGGGGCGCAGAAGAAAAAAGTTTGGGAACCACTGCTCTAGAGTCTCTCCTGGAGAAGGTGGCTACTGAAGTGTAATTGCTAAGTACAAATAGGGGGGGCCTTGTCGTGTGTGAGCCAAGTTTCCGTAATACACAGAATTTCCGGGTATTTCTGACAGTGTAGAAAAACATCCAGTTCAAGAGATTTACAGCGAAGGCTCCTTGCATTTAGGTTAACAAGTTTAGGGCTAAGTCTAGTGTCAGTGTTGCTGTCCCCATCCACTACTGTTTCTACCATTACTGAACCCTCTCGGTGTGGGGCGATAAGTTCTGCTGCCTCCCGTTTGCTGTTGAGGGCGAAAAAAGGAGATTTTTTTTATTATTATGTGTTCCAGACAGCGATTTGGATTCAGTAGCTTCTCTTCTAAGTCTTGGCTTGCATTGATTTCGAAGCCTTTATATTCACCAGACTTCACCTCAACCCTCTCCACAATAAAGCTTCCATATAGTTCAAAGTTGTTTTTGAGATATTCCATCAAGTCTGCTTCATTAACTTGTAGGGATACTTTTGAGACAAAAATAGACGTTTGCGAATGGAGGCCATCAATTTACCTTTCAATTACATGTATCGAAATTCATAGAAAAACTGGTTAAAATTTGCCTTTCAACCAACTGGATTTTCTGTCTAAATATTCTGTCTTTAGTTCTCTCAATTTCATACTTTAGGTTTGTTATCACAGAAATCAAAAACGCTTTGTGATTTCTGTGGGAACAGACCTAATCTTCATCTCGTTCTTGTTCTTCTTCAAGTTCTAAACTCTTCGTAGTCTCGGGTTCAGTTATATTGGCTCAGTGATTAGGAAACTCGTTGGGAAACCAAATTAATTTCAAATTGTCTAGCACTCAACTCAATGTTGCCGAAAACTAAGTCTTAAAGGCAAATACACAACCGACTGGTACGCTACTATATCGTTTGAAATGTATGATTGCCAATGGATTCCTATATGATACCCATGAAGTCCTAGGAGATTCCTAGCGATTCCTAGGTTATTCCCAGGGCTTCCCAAGCGATTTCCATGTACTCCTAATTGATTTCTATGTGATTCCCAAAAAAATGTACTACAATGATTTCCACTAAGTAGTGGTTCACTAAGGTGGTATACTGATACCCCTCGAAAATTATATTTACATATTGTATTTTCAAACTACAATCAATAATTAAGGTTTAAAGTCAGGCCTATAGTTTATTACAGCAACGCGAGATGTCCATGCTGTCGCCCCTATAGTGTGCCCTAACTTGACTGTCAAAAAAAATAGAAATCTTCATTTGGTTGAATTATGTGATGGAACGTTTTTTCTTTTTTTGGCGGAAATACGAAGTATTACTCTGTTTTACATAAACAAGGTTGTAGTTTCGACCAACGCAAATAATTTTGAACGTTCATCCGTCGGATTTTTTTCTAAACAGTGTAGCTACGGGCGTATTTCCAACTATTTTTGTAGTAGCGAGAAAATTACAAGTTCCAAAAATTTGAAAAAAATATATGTCGTGTAGAATTGCAATAGTAGTTCATAATAAAAATAATGGGAAACTTCATCTATTCGTTTTGAAATAAATGGTGAATAACTACTTTTTTTTCAGTTTTTGCGATATAACTCAAAGATGGCGAGTCAAATTTGCTTAAAAAAATTATGGATTAAAGTATATCGATAACCATAAAACATATATTTTTTTTGGAATTTTTGAACACAAGGTTCAGAAAATAGGGATTGACTTTAAACCTTAAGTTTAATATATTTGTAGGTTAGCTGATTTCAAACATCTTGGCTACGACTGGGATGGTAAAAAAGTAATAAAACCAGACACCGGCGATCGCCTAGACGAGTTCCTAAAAAGAATGGAAGATCCCGACTTTTGGAGAACAGTCAAAGATCCCCAAACCGGTCAAAATGTCATTCTCAGTGACGAGGACGTAGAACTTATAAAAAGAATACGCGGCCAACAAATTCCCGAAAAAGAATTCGAGGAATATGCACCATGGATCGAATGGTTTTCGTCACAAGTTGAACAAATGCCTATAAGAAACTTCCCCGAACACAAAAGGTCGTTTTTACCAAGCAAAGATGAAGCTAAAAAAGTTTCGAAATTGGTGCACGCTTTGAAAATGGGGTGGATCAAAACCAGAGAGGAACAAGCTAAATTAAGAAAAAAGAAGGAACCGACGTTTTATATGTTGTGGAAAAATGAAGATGATCCCAAGGTTAGAGGAATACATAAACATATTCCTGCGCCTAAGAGATTATTACCAGGTAAAAATATAAATAAATAAGAGCCTCATTTTAAATAATCTATGTACCTATTATGTAAGCATGAACACAAAATCAATAGAAATCAGAGGGTCTTAAATCCATACTTTTGAGGAATTAATTCGTAATAATTTTACCATATTTTGTCCCATATATCTGAGATCAACCATAATTTTTCTAGGTCATGCCGAATCATACAACCCACCTCCAGAATACCTATTTGACGCCAAGGAAATGAAAGAATGGAATAAACTGAAGAACGCCCCCTGGAAACGCAAACATCATTTTATCCCCGAAAAGTATGACTCCCTCAGAAAAGTTCCCGCCTATCCGAGATTCATCAAAGAACGTTTCTTGCGTTGCTTGGACTTGTACCTGTGTCCTAGAGCTATAAAAATGAAACTGAACATAGAGCCAGAGTCTTTGGTGCCCAAACTGCCCAGTCCTAGAGATTTACAACCGTTCCCTACTACATTGGCCATACAATATAAGGGACACACTGATATGGTTAGAGCGATAAGCACTGATCACACTGGACAATATTTGTTGAGTGGGTCAGACGATTGTACAAGTAAGTAGTTTTCTTTAATTGATCAATTTGCAATCAACTATATATATTTTTTTGTTTAGTTAAAATTTGGGAAGTGCACACTGGCAGATGTCTAAAAACTATTCCGTGTGTCGGCATTGTGAGAAGTGTAGAATGGTGTCCCAACCATGATCTAACTTTAGTCCTAGTAGCAGCAGGCAATGAAATTCTAATTATTAATCCAGGAGTTGGCGATTTTGTCAAGAAGAGCAAAACAGATTCTGTTTTGAGTCTTGAACCTAATCAGACTGATTCCATTGTCAGTGAAAGGTAAGAACTTGTAGCTAATTAGTCGCACATTTTTTGTCTAAATTAAATTTGATGGAAAACCAAGCTTTCGGAGCTTTTTTCTCTTCCAGAGATATCATACAAATTACTTGAATAATAATTATAAACATAATATATTATAGGTATGTTGTTTATATTTCTGATTGTTTTCGCAGAGTAAAATCGACAGTCCAATGGTGCCTACCAGATCAAGAGCTGTACAAAACCGGCCTCCGCATCCAACTTAAAGCCTTCAAAATGGTATCCCAAGTGACCTGGCATGGTAAAGGAGATTATTTCGGTGCAGTTATACCTGACGGCCAAAGCCGATCCGTATTGATTTCACAATTATCGAAACGTAAAAGCCAACTTCCCTTTACAAAGTCCAAAGGTTTGGTACAATGCATCAAATTCCACCCAAAGAAACCGTTTTTGTTTGTGGCCACTCAAAGACACGTGAGGATTTATGATTTATTGAAGCAAACTCAGATTAAAAAATTGATGACCAATTCCAAATGGATTTCCACTATGGATGTTCATCCTATGGGAAATAATTTGTTAGTAGGTAAGAGAAAATCATTGCAAATCTATTGCAAACAAAATATCTAATTTTATTTTTTTACAGGTACCTACGACAGGAAAATGTTATGGTTTGACTTGGATCTAAGTAGGAAACCTTATCAAACATTGAGACTACATGGAACTGCTGTGAGGGGTGTAGCTTACCATAAAAGATATCCTTTGTTTGCATCTGGTTCAGATGATAGAAGTCTTATTATATCACATGGAATGGTTTACAAGTAAGTGCACAATATCTTGACCAAAAACTAGCTTCTTAGTGAAGATACTCATTGTTCTTTTTTCTCTTTTCTAGTGACCTCCTCCAAAATCCTTTGATAGTGCCCCTAAAGAGACTACAAGACCATCAACCATTTAACGATTTTGGTATTCTGGGTGTTCATTTTCATCCGTTCCAACCCTGGGTATTTTCTTGCGGTGCTGACAGTACAATTATGTTGTATTCCAACTAATTTTAGGTTACTTTATACCTAAGTTTAGAATTGACTTTTTCTTTTTTGTTATTAATGGAATTTAATATTTTTCTTTTTTTAATTCTTACGTTGTTTTGTATAAATAAAGTGATGAATACATTTTTTTGCAAAAATATTTAATGGTTTTCCTACATATAATTTGTGAAAAATGATGCGAAATTGAGTCAACAATGGTTACCTATTTATGTATTTAGGCCAATAAGTGATACTTTTTGTGCCGAGTTGAAAATTTGAAGGCCGATATGTGAGATGAATGAATCAAATACATAGTTACAGCTACATATTGCTTGTATTTCTTTGAATGGTGACTCCAGCAAAAATACAAGTACTTACCTCTTCCAAGTGAAGCAAATTTTCGCATATGAAACCGCAGGTAAACTGAAAAAAAAGGATGTTTTTGGATGTTTTAAAAAGAAAAATTAAGGCTAGAAAAAATATATTACATTTAGGGTCGGTTTATTCACCTTCTGATAAACTGTTAGGTATGCAATCTGATGTTTACAAACACAATCTGTAATCCTCTTGGTCGGCCAGTTATCCGCTGACCAAAAAATTTTATCTTGCAGATAGTTACCAGCAAGATGAATAAACCACGCCTTGACAAAATAAAAATATGTTCTTATAAAATTACTCAAAGAGCAGGTGGATTTATACAAATTGAAAAAAAGAAAGCCATCATTATTTTTTTTCGGACTAGAGATACATACATAGTTTTAAATCAAATTCACTCGAGTCCCACTTTTTGTATAATTTTGAAACACGTGCACACAAGAAAATAAGAAAACAATAATTATTACCTTAAGCAGTTCAGTTTTCCTAAAAAAAAAGTTAATTGATTAATTTTTTCACATTTACTGATATAATATGGTACCTATATCAATATCAATTATTTAAAAATATGGCCGTTTGCCTAACAACAAACCCATATAAAACTCTGCTCTGGGGACTGTAAGTCTCACCCAGAGATAATTCATTTTCAACTCAAAAAAAGGATAACATAACAATACCTAAACCTAAAGTTTAACAATATACATAAATGTGAACTTATAGCTAGGAAAACTAAAAGATTGTTTTAACTATGTAGAAAGTTTGAAATTTAAATAAAGTTAAAATGAAATTTTGGAAATTAAAAAAGTTTATAATATGTTCAGTGCTGAACTCAGTACTGTAAAAAATTAATTTCCAAATATACCATCAAATACAATATATAAAGTTGTGTTTTATGGTACAATAATTGGCGAGTTTGCATAATCCCCCGTGAACTTAAGGATGACATTTTATAAGTAACAAAACGGATCACGTGGGCCTATCATGTTTTGGCTCAAGGAAGATTAACTGAACTTAATTAAAAATTGTCAGTACTTACGACCTATTTTGAGCTTGAGCAAGCCTCAAAAATAGCACCTTTTCTAACCATTTTGGAGATAGCAGTAGTGATATGACCTGAAATGGCCATTCTGTATACATAAATCATATTGGTATATGTATATAAAAAAAGATTGTGAATTTCTCTATCTGTAAAATGAGTTTTAATCGAGATTTGCTGATCAAGTGTTTGATCAAAAGTACTATTTGAGTAGTGCCTGTAAGTGCTCAATCGAATAAAAATAAATACATAGAATCAAATAAAAAGAAAGAAAATCTAACATGTAACGTGAATTGTAACAACTTTCCTTATAGCGGTGTTGGCTGTATAACGTCATCTTTGGTAATGGTCGTTAAAACATTATCTTTTAAGCCACAGTTTTGACAAACAAAGTAAGTGTCTGCATTAACACACTTTTCATGAGCCCATCCGTGACATTTCGTGCATCTAATCCATTCTTCGCCTGCTAGAGATTTAGAATATTTTCCCGAGCAGACTAAACACAGCGCATCATCGACATCATATGAACCATCTTCTAGTAAAACAGGTTTTCTAGACTTTCTTTTTCTATGTTTAGTCTGTTTTTGATTTCCTTTTTCTTTGCCTATACCCTTATTATCCTTATTTATGTTTTCACAGTATCTGTGTAGCGTCGTGGGATTTATAAAATGCTTCTCTGCAACGGTCCCAACTGATTCTCCTTGATTCAGTACTTCTTGTGCAGCATTATCAAGATTGGTCTGTGTATGTTCTTTATTTCCTGCAATTTTTATTTTCATTTCCTCTTCAATTATTCTTTGGCTTACTTACCCGCTCTTGCTTTTAGAACGTTCCTCCGCAACGTCGACACATTTATGGAATGTTTACGTGCAATTGAACTGATCGATTCTTCAGAGTGCAGCAGCGCGTCGTTCACAGCAATCTGAATAGTTGCTAGTGATGATCTGCGCCTCCTAGTTCTTGTTTTGTAGCTCTCATTACCTATTCCATAAGAAAGATATCGTTAAAATACTTGAAACACTAATAATACAACTATTTTATTTGCATAAAAGTGTCACATCCTAGGCAGCATGCTTACAGAGCGGACAGATCAACAGAAACCGCTTCACTTGGACTCACCGACAGCGTCCAAAGTACACTGCATAATAAAGAAGCAGCCGTCTGCGTCTTCTTGGACATAGAGGGCGCATTTGATAACACTTCATATGAGTCAATAAAGAATGCGCTCGTCAAAAAAAAAAGTGGACAGAACCACATCCACCTGGATGTGCGAAACGCTAGCCACCAGAACTGCAGAAACTGACATAGGAACAAACCATACAGGTCATCCCCATTATAGGATTTCCACACGGAGGGGTACTCGGAAGAATCCCAACTCGAACTTGATATAAGTACTTAAAGAATTGTCTCGTTTATTTTTTTTGTTTGTTTGATATGATTTTTCAAACATTCCCTATTATTTTTTTTGCATTTTCCGTATTTTGCGAAATTTTATTTTACCATATTTTGAAAATTTACCAACCAATTTTCATAAATCGTTTCCATCAACCATATTTTGAAAAGTTTGTCAATTACTTTCGAAATATTTTTTCGTTTTTGAATATTTTTATTTAAAAAACAAAATGCCTAATGAAACCATTGTGGAAAGTTGAACCATACAGACTTTCTAAAATATTTTCGATAATTCCTGAATTTGAAGGAGATCAAATCTTTTTAGGAAACTTTATTAATGCGTGCCTACAATATGGCAACCACGCAGCAAAAAGTTTTACTTGTTATTCATATTAAAAATAAGCTCAGGTAGACCAGTGGTCAACTGATAAGTTCTCGAACCCCCACTTCCTATTTGGAAATTGAATTTACACTTTGGAAATTCTAGAGACCTCTCAGCTCTTATCCATGACCTCCAACGACTCAAACAACGACCTGGCGAGTCCCCACTTACTTTCTACAACAGACTCAAAGGAATGCAAAAATGCATTCTTCTATCCAAAAGTCACCACACCTTGAAACAGATCAAAAAGAAGCACAGTCCTCCCTTGTGGAATCTATGGCCCTGAACACTCTTCTTACAGGCCTAGAACCTCGTCTTGGCCAGATTATCAGAGCTGGAAGCCCACACACTCTTTTAGATGCCTAATGTAGAATCAGGAGAGAAATCCAACTTTCCCATTTTGAGAATCAGAAGACTCCAAAACCTGCTGTTCTAAAAGTTTTGGTCAACAAACCGCAATCATCCATTAAATGCTTTCTTGTGGAAAAATTGGCCATACAGCCAATCAATGTAGACAACAAGCTTCCAGTCGTTCAAACTTCATTCAATACCCAAATCAAAATTTCCAAAAAACAACAACAGACACCGCAAACCAACAACCAATGTTCCGCAAAATACAACTCAAAATGCATCTACTTCCAAACAATTCGTACCAAGATATACACTTCAACGTCTTCAACTACCCCTCAAAGAAACTCCAATTTTTACCCTAACCAGCAAAATACTTATCTTTTAAATGATTTCTCTAATGAAACGTATATCAACGTATTTGAGTACGCTGAAAGCCCTCATTATGAACAAGATGCTAGTTATGAAGAAAACGAATATGCTGAACAGTTCAATACTGATCCGAACACTGAAAATTATCAGGATGTTCTGGTACCTTTTACCAATCACCATCCGCCAGAGAATACCCCTCAAGATCAGACTTCAAATATCGAGACTCAAATACAACTTCTGAATCTAGACTACATGAATTCGAACCTCAATTTTCCGGAACAAGCATGTCTTTAAACCCACTTCTTACTGTTAATTCGAAAAATCTGTACTACATTCATGATGCTTCCAGTAAATTCAGATTACTCATTGATACAGGTGTAGGCATTTCAATTTCTAAAGAAAATACTGTCCATAAATTCCCCTATCGTTCCGAAGAAAACGTAACCATTCAAGGTATCACCGATCAAAAACTCCAGATCCGTGAATCAACACTTGTACCGTTCACCCTCCAAGATTCTCACAAAGTGTATATTTACAACTTGAATATTGATTTCGATGGAATTTTAGGGTTAGATTTCCTAGAACATTATCAATGTGTGATAGATTTGAAAGCTTAAGAACTTGTAACTAATTTCAAAACTATCCCTCTTCATAAAGTTACTGAAGATGGCTACCCTAATAATACAAAACCAAACAACCCTCAAACAATTCTCAACAAAATATCTATAGAAGCTAGAACTGAAATGATCTTTAAACTAAAATGTAATCTATCCAACACAGATGCTTTAGGCCGGGGTTACCCAATTCCTTAATTCTTAATTTTGGTTCTTAATTCTTAATCTTTAAAAACGCCAATGTTAAATAAATTTAACTTTTTAAGAATTAAGAATTAAGGATAAAAATTAAGGAGTTGGGTAACTCTGGCGTTACTCTTTTCTCGAGAAAAAGAAAAAGTCAAATAACCTAATGCTTTAGTGAAAATTAATGAACAAGGCGAATTTTTAACCTCAATTGTAAATATTAACGCCATGGACAAAACCGAGTTTTCGAACTTGTCTATCGAACCATTTGTCTCAGAAAGTGAAACTCAAAAAACCATTCTTAGTTTTAACAACTCTAACCTCGAATATGACGATACTTATGATAAGCAAATGTCCATACAAAATTAACTTCGTATAGAACATCTGAACGACGAAGAAAAATAACTAATTACCAACTTATGCCTGAACTTTTCCATTTTCTACCTAGAAGGTGACACGCTCACATTTACTAGTGAGATTAAACACCCTATTGACACCAATAATGCAAAGCTTGTGTATACCAGATCTTACAGGTACCCCCAAATCCACAAAGAAGAAGTCAAATCCCAAGTCATCAAAATGCTACCCAAGGCATACTTCGCCATTCTGTATCTCCATGGTCTTCTCCCGTCTGGGTCGTTCCTAAGAAATTTGATGCTTCTGGCAAACCCAAATGGCGCGTTGAATCGACTACCGTGAAGTCAACGAACTGACTGTAGACGACAAATACCCGCCGCCTAATATTTCCGATCTTCTGGATCAATTGGGAAAATGTTAATATGTTACCACTCTTGACCTAGCCTCAGGTTTTCACCAAATAGAAGTAGACCCCAAGGATGTTTCGAAAACCACTTTTTCCGTAGAAAATGGCCATTACGAATTCGTTCGTATGCCCTTTGGATTGAAAAATGCCCCCTCCACATTCCAAAGAGCCATGGACAAATGGACAATATTCTCCTAGGCATTCAAAACGAAAGATGCTTAGTCTACGCATGGACGATATTATCGTTTACTCTCCTACCATCCATGAACATATTTCAAGGCTTATCGAAGTATTTAAACGCCTCCGTAAAGCTAACTTAAAAATCCAGCCGGACAAGTGTGAGTTTCATCGAAAAGAAGTAGCTTACCTGGGACACCTTATCACTCAGGACAGTGTAAAACCAAGCCCTGCAAAAATTAGTTGTATTCAAAACTTCCCCACATCCAAAAATCCAAAAGACATTAAATCCTTTCTAGGATTAGCAGGATATTATCGTCGATTTATCCCCAATTGTGCTAAAACATCAAAGCCATTAACAAAACTCCTCCAGAAAGATGTTCCATTTCACTTCAACCCAGAATGCATATTCGCATTCAAAGAATTGAAAAACACACTAGTTTCTGACCCGATTCTGATCTATCCCAGTTTTGAAGAGACATTTCTATTAACCACCAACGCTAGCGCTTTTGCCATCGGTGCAGTTTTGTCACAAGGCCCTATAGGAGAAGATCTGCCTATAGCCTATGCCTCTCGAACGCTGTGCAATGCCGAAACTAAATACTCTACCATAGAGAGAGAATTACTGTTCATTGTATGGGCAGTTAAACATTTTAGACCTTATCTCTTTGGTCGAAAACTCGTCCTTATCACAGACCATCGCCCTTTAACTTGGCTTTTCTCAATTAAAGACCCTGGAAGTCGTTTAGCTCGCTGGTTCTTGAAACTCGAAAAATACGACTATCGAATCGAGTATTAGCCTGGGAAAATCAATAAGAACGCTGATGCCCTATCTCGAATAAAAGTAAACCACTTTGAAGATTGTTCAGAATTAAGTTCCAAAATTCACATACTCGCTTCTAACAAAGAAGAACCTGATATTGACGATATAAGAAACGGCTTTTCTACAAGTCAACCTCAAAGATAGAGATTTCCAACTCAAAACTTCTGGACAAGTCTCACAAAAATATTGTGACATTCTTTTGGCAAAACAAACTAACAGACTCACATTACAAAATTATAGATGACCTATTCGAGGAAAATTTCGATTTTCAACCTAATCAGGTTAACATTTTATCCAGCAAATCTGTGAAGGCACGCAAATACTTCATAATTCCAATTCTTTGCAAAAATGAGAAAATAGTTCCTATTCTCTTTCACTCGCTTTTCAAGTGTCAAAACGAATTTGACCCTGAAAAAACCCTTTGTATCGAAAACAATCTGGAATTACCTATTCTTGAAATATTTTCCTTTATATTTGCCGAAAAAGACATTAAGCTTAAGATATGCCAAAATATCGTCAAAATCCTAGATCAAGACCAAATTCCAATTATCCAGGACCAATATCATAGTGAAAAAACAAATTTACATCGTGGAATCAATGAAACCGTTAGAAGGATTAAATACTCAAAGTTTAACCAAAGATGTTGAGAAATTCATCAAAGCCTGTGAAATCTGCCAAAAAGTCAAAATCTGTAGGAAAAATCATAGTTCTCCTCTCGTTATCACTGAGACTCTCAAAACTCCATTTGGAAGGATAAACATTGACCTTTTTGAATTCCCAGTTCGTAACTAATGCACTAACAGTTAGGGATGAACTTACCAAATTCACTCAAGCTTACCCAATCTCAGACAAAAAGGCATCCACAATTGTTAACACCTTACTTGTATTTTTCCCACATTACGGTACACCTTTAAGAATTCACTGTAATTGTGGAGGTGAATTCAACAACGCCTTACTCAAAGATCTCTGTCAACTTTACGACATAAAATTGACATTTTCAAGCGTAAGCCACCCACAATCCAACGGATCGCTGGAAGGATTCCATGCAACTTTAATGGAGATGATCCGCGTTCATAAAGCGGAACATCCAGATGAACACCCATTCAATATTCTCCCATACGCAGTTATCTGTTATAAGAATACCAAAAATAAGACACACGGATTCACACCTTTCGAATTGATCTTTGGCCATACGTCGAATAGACCCCCTGAAACTCTTTATAATCAAAAACAGCTAATCTCCAAATACATACGAGGCCTCAACAACAGAATGGAATATTATTATAGAATGGCTCGAGCCAGAACCGATATCCAGAAAGAAAAGGCGAAAGTAAGGATCGACAAGACGGTCTCACAAAATCTTCCAGAATATAAAGCAGGTGACAAGGTGTATGTCAAAGAAACTCGAATAAAATACAAAGCTCAAAATCTTTTTAACGGACCTTTCGAAATAATTGAAGTTTATAGTGTCAACTCATAAACGTACACAAGCCCACGCATTACATAAATTAAGTAAATTTCCAAAGGAGGTCACCCCGGACTATTAAAAACAGACCGATTTTGCTTATGCCAACAATAATTTCAATATAAATTCACGCACTGCGGCAATGCAAAGCAAGGTTGATCTGGACTGCTTTATGCCTGATAAGGTACGAGCCTAAAGACCTGCCTTCTTAGCTGGGTACGACTAGGTATAGTCGAGACTGTGAAACTTTTGGATGAAGGTTTCGTCTATAGCAGCCGTGTCACAGCGTCCCCAAGTTTAGACCTACGAGAACTATGCCCTTAGGGGGCCCGTTCTTTTAGTGCATCTTGGGTTACATTAAACATTAAACATTCTCACATTTCGAGTTGACAATCGAAAACATGGTCCACCAGGGACGAACATCTGCCGTATTAGGATTTTGGTAAATCTCCTTGAACTATAAGGTGTAATTAAGGTTTAGTAATAAAACAAATTAAATATTCGTGGTGATATTCCTTCCCCCCATATCCTCTCTTTTCAGATAAACCCTTAGTGGACGCAGCCAAGCGAAGTAAAAGTGGTGGCACCGCTGACCACAACCAACCTAAGCGTGACAATAGAAACTCAGCGAAAGTGAAAAACCTCAAAACAAATCAATTTTCGAAATTTAACTTTGATAGACTAAAGCCGTTCTATGACTAGTCTATTCTTTTCCAGACTCGTCGGGCTGATTCCCTCAATTTCTTCTAACTCCAATTAACAACACAGTTGGAATATTCTATCACGAAGAAGGTAGTCTCAAAGTCTCAAATGAGAAATGGACCCTTTTAGTTTATAAAGAAAAAGAATCATTCAGAGAAACTATCCAGAACAATAAAAAGATTCTCACTAGCCTGACCAAAATAATTGATGACTTCTCCTCGAATGACAGCCTTCAGAGTTGAAGTTCAAACTGATTTCAGCCTTTTAACATCTGTGCTTTCAACTCAAGTTGCTGATTCAGGCGACCAGAAACTTAATGAAATCACTGGCGACACAAACTATAGAAACAAACGTGGACTAATTAACGGAATAGGAAATAAAAAAAATTAATTCTACTATTCAACAACTTCAAATCGATGAAGAAACATTCAGCATCGATATAGCAGAAATCAGAGAACTCATATCTGACATTTCGAACGATTTAAAGTTTTACGAAGCCCAAAAACTCTTAACCTCTGTGAATCATTATTGGAAAGCTTCGTCTTTCTAGAAAATTCCCTTAATGACATTCTAGAAGCAATAACGTTTGCACGTTTAAAGACCTTACATACCTCAATTATAACTCCTAGAGACTTAGTCGCCTCCTTACAAGAAATATCGCGCTCTTTGTCCAGAAATAACCTTCCTTTATCTACATATCTTCCATATGTAGCACGATACCTGGATATAATTGATTTTAGAAGCTTATCAATCAGAAGGTAAAATTGTCTTTATTCTTAGAATACCGCTGATCGAAGCTGAGATATACACTCTTTATCACATTTACCCTATCCAGATTTTGGATAATCGAACAGGTTTTCATCATATTTTACCAATAACTCAAAAATATATCGCGAGAGACGACGATTCTTTATTGTACATATTACCCCAAAGCCTGGATCACTGCAAACCTCTTGATAATTACACAAGGATATGTTCTGACCTTCTACAATACCCTATAGACAGTAATGCCATTTGCGAAGGCCAACTCCTGAAGTCAACAGAGACACTTCCCAAGACTTGCCAAACCTCAATCTTACTCGCTAGTAACTACAATGTGCAAGAACTAGACACAAACTGCTGGCTCATAACATTATCATCGTCCCTTCCAATCACTATCAGATGTGATGGCAAAAACAGTGTGACAGAAACAATCAACACCAACACAATGCTCAAGCTCCAACCAACCTGCAATGCCTTTGTAGGAAACTCCAGAATTCATGCTAGGAATCTAGCAGAAAAATATAGAAACGCCACCTATAAAAGCCATTCAGTGGATATTCCCTATGATTGCTGCAAACACCGGCTGGTGGATCTTCATGTGCCAGAGTTGAAACCTCTCAAACTATCTAAAATAAACTTCGATGATCTAAACGTGGCACAGCATAGACTAATAACCAATTTTCCGATGAACTGGATAAACTAATCCAAGAACCATTCGTATCAATACACAGTCAATGGTTCACCTCCTTCATCATCGTACTAATAACAACCCTTGTAATCATTTACATTTGTTGTCGGCGAAAGGCACCTTCCAAACCTAGCCCTATCGACGAAGACGAACCATAACCGCCGAAGTCTCATTCACGTCTTCAAATAGGCAACAACCTTAGAAAACTTTTACCGAAACGAAGAAATACTGTTCATCCAAATCTACCCTCAGAACAAGAGATGACCGGTCTACACAACAACCCAGTTGGCTTTTGAAAAAATTGTTGCAAAGTACCAACTTTTTACTTAATGGGGGAGCTGTTATATGGATTTCACGACTACATTGACCTCAAGAAGCGTCTCATCACCACGGTGGTACAAAGTATCGCAAAGTCTAGACGCTATTTCAGCAAGTTATCCTGTCTGAACATGTCACGCAAAGAACTCTGGTCCATCGTCGCAATGCTCCCATAAAAACAGCCAGATCAACATGTTTTAAAATATAAAAAATCCTGTCTCTTTAGTGTAAGTGTCATTATTAAGTATAGTTGAGTTAATGTCGATTTTAATAATTGTAACTTGTATTTTAAAATAAATTAGTGTTTTCTAAAAAGTGAATTCAAGAGTTTTTGAGATAACATGTATACCATGATAGTGAGACCTATTATCGCGTACGGAGCGGTAGCCTGGTATAACCGAACCCAGTAACAGCTAGGAAAACCCTAGGAAAAGTGCAAAGACTCGCGTGTTTCTGGAGCAATGAGATCATGCCCAACCGCGGCACTAGAAGTCATTCTAGACTTCACACTACTCCACATAACGCACCTTAGCAGAACTTTTCCTCTCCAAACTATGCACACCTCATCTCCCAAAAGACGTGATTGTTGATAAATTCAGTTTCGAGAAGAACTTAAAGCAAACACCATCCTCTGGGTGCCTGAACACATAGGTGTCGGGGGCAGCGAATGCGCAGACAGACTTGCAAGAACGGGAGCGTCTACTCCCTTTATCACTGGGCCAGAACCATTTTGTGGCGTCAGAAATGCGCACCTCAAAGAAATCCTCAAAAAGAAGAGAACCGGCTTAAAGAAAAGTCTCAAGACTCTAACTGGGTTTCTCTCGAGACATTGCAGACTTGAGAAACACCTATAGAAGTTGGGGTTAGAAGAAGGTGGCACCTGCAGATTCTGTGAAGATGGAGAAGAAACACCTCACCATCTTCTACTGAACTACGATGCCGTTAGTCGCTCAAGGATGAAGAACCTGGGAAGTGCCCTTATACAGTTGGAAGACATTCCAGCTCTAAAACCGCTAGACATCCTAAAATTCCTAAGGGACCTAGGACTGGAAAGGCTGCTTTGAGCGAGAACTTAGCAGCAGAAAGAGGGGTACAATAAATCAACCTTAGTCACAGTGCAACTGACACCTAGGGTACAAACAAAGAGAAACCAGATTTCTACTGACCAACTAGTGAAAGTTAAATGAAATATATTTTTTCTACACTTACCACTGCTTCGAGACGTTCTAGTTTTTCTAGCAATTTCTGTACTCTGTATATTATCTAATGTCGATGATTCCCCTTCAGAAACTGTCATGTTATCTTCTGTATTATCCGATCCACAACTTTCGTTCACAGATATGTTTTCCAGTAACATTTTTTTACTTAAAGAAATGTGTTCCATAATATCTTTCTTTAGATTTGGGTCCGCAAATGGGTTCCAACATTTTTCTTCAGGTTGATTGTTTGAAGTGATTGACATTTTCTCTGGTTCAGACTTGACAAGTTCGCTTCTACTTTGATTATTGCTGATAATATCTGCTACATTTGAACTAGTCTCAGACTTGATCGATGACGATGGTATATTTAAATCGGTTCCAACTACAGATTTTCTGGTTGGATATCTTTTGGTCGTAGAAAAATCTTCTTTAAGACGATTTATTCTTGATGGTGATGGAGTATTTGAACTTCTGAGATATTTAGTACACCTTTGACTAGTTGGAGTGGTTGTAACGTCTCCCTCTACACTGTTACATGGTAATACATTTGTATCAGTTGCTTGTTTGATATTATTTTCTTCAAAATTAGTTTCTTTTATCTGAAGAGTATTTGATATTTTTATATTGCTTTCTGCCACAGCATTTGATTCAGGAGTTTCGCGCTTAGCGGCCTTGTCAAGGTTATCTGCGCTCATACGCGTATTGTCTCTAACTTCATTTTTCATTATAGCAAATTGGCCATTTTTACGATGTCTTCGTTTTCGTGACCGCGGCTTGCGTTTCTTTTTGGTAACAAGGTTGGACGACGGGGATGCAGTTTCAACAGTATTCACGTTTGTATTGTTACGAGATTCATATAAATCTGAGAGACTTGTGAAGCCCTTTTCATCACAGAAGACTGGAATAGCTCTAGAAGTTTCTTTACTCTGGAGTTGATTTTCTGGAAGAAATTCAAATATAGGGCATCTAGTTTTGTCAATTAAAATGGGTACCTAATATATTTGTATGAGTTTTACAGGTAATTGACTTTTTGTAAAGTTTATAAGTAAGTATCAAAAAACTGAAGAGAGAATTTTCTGCTAACAAAAATCTGGTTGATATCATGGGTATTGGTTACTGGGGATGGTATGCAGCTTTTATTTTCATCCACACAAAAAAAATAGCCATATACAATTCAGGAGCTGAAAACTTTCTTATATACTTATAGTCCCTAAAAACAATATCAAGATTAAGAACTTCATTCACTTATCATACATCCACATTAAAAATTATCTCGTCTCAGGCGAACAGCGAAAGATTATGGTGCTTGAAATCACTATATTTTTTGATGATTAATTTTAAGTTTATCAAATCTTGTATAATTATTATTTTCTATAGAAATTTAATTCCCCAACATTTTTAGGATGAAAAATATGCTTAACAATTGAGATTACAAACAAACTTACCATTTGTAGCAGTGGCAGTTATAGGCTGCTTACCATCTTCTTCAATTGCCCTAAAATAAAATATTTAAATAAACCAGAAATAGCTTAATCAAAAGAATAAGCCTTACCTAGTTACTGTGCAACTCCTTCGATTAATCGCAGTCGTTGGTGATTTCGGAATCGTACCATCGCAGACCGAATTGAACTTTTTCAAATTACTCAGGGTTCTCGCGTTATGAGTTTCAGCGTGATGGGCGTATCTAGCGTAAGTCACATTTACATGGCAATCTGGGCAACGGTAAATGTGTTGGCGCACGTGGAAGTTTAAGACAAAAACGTTGTTGAAATCTAGTTTGCAGATGCGGCAATATGTGCTGTGGCATTGCATGTGCTGGAAAAATGAGCTATATTACAATCGTTTATATACAAGACCTTTTGTTTGAAACATTACATAGAAAACTTTTCAATTTTTTTAAAATATAGCTGAAGAAATAGTTGCAGGAAAGGTATTTCTCCCTAAAGAAAGCACTAGCAAAAAAGCCCATCTAAATCTATTTGATAATTCAACACCGCAAGGACATAATCCTGCATCTTCAAAAAAATATTAGCAAAAGCGCAAACTCGAATCTAAAATACCCAGTATCCAATTTAAATATATTAATTCAGTTCTAATAAGTACTACCCTATGATTTAGATTTAGGAAAACTTTGAAAGGTCATAACTTTTTTTTTATTATAAATAGAAAAATGAAACTTTCACTGAATTTTATCCCAATCAAGGGACGACAATCCCTGAAAATTTCAGCTCATTTGCACTTATAGTTCCTGAGATAAAATCGTGTTAAGCAATTTGGGGTGATTTATCAATTTTTCAATTTTTCTGAGTGCCTTTTTTCATAGACTTCGGCTTCAAATCTGAGAAGAATTTAGTTTATGGAGTTTGGGGCATGTTGATTGACCATTTATAGGATTCAAAATCACGAAAAAAAAAAATTGAAATTTCATCGTTTTAGTAAGAAGGTACCTGCCTTATGATTTAGATTTTGGAAAACTTTGAAAGGTCATAACTTTTTTTCTATTATAGATAGAAACCTGAAACTTTCACTGAATTTTATCCCTATCAAGGGACGACAATCCCTGAAAATTTCAGCTCATTTGCACTTATAGTTCCTGAGATAAAATCGTGTTAAGCAATTTGGGGTGATTTATCAATTTTTCAATTTTTCTGAGTGCCTTTTTTCATAGATTTCGGCTTCAAATCTGAGAATAATTTAGTGTATGGAGTTTGGGGTATGTTGATTGACCATTAGGATACAAAATCTCGACAAAAAAAAATTGAAATTTCATCGTTTTAGTAAGAAGGTACCTGCCTTATGATTTAGATTTTGGAAAACTTTGAAAGGTCATAACTTTTTTTCTATTATAGATAGAAAGCTGAAACTTCACTGAATTTTATCCCAATCAAGAGACTACAATCCCTGAAAATTTCAGCTCATTTGCACTTATAGTTCATGAGATAAAATCGTATTAAGCAATTTGGGGTGATTTATCAATTTTTCAATTTTTCTGAGTGCCTTTTTTCATAGACTTCGGCTTCAAATCTGAGAAGAATTTAGTTTATGGAGTTTGAGGTATGTTGATTGACCATTAGGAATATTAGGATACAAAATCTCGACAAAAAAAATTTTGAAATTTCATCGTTTCAGTAAGGAGGTACCTACCTATTATGATTTAGATTTTGGAAAACTTTGAAAGGTCATAACTTTTTTTCTATTATAGATAAAAAGCTGAAACTTTCACTGAATTTTATCTCTATCAAGGGACTACAATCCCAGAAAATTTCAACTCATTTGCACTTATAGTTCCTGAGATAAAATCGTGTTAAGCAATTTGGGGTGATTTATCAATTTTTCAATTTTTCTGAGTGCCTTTTTTCATAGATTTGAGCTTCAAATCTGGGAATAATTTAGTGTATGGCGTTTGGGGTATGTTGATTGACCATTAGAATACAAAATCTCGACAATTTTCTTTTTTTAATTTCATCGTTTTAGTAAGAAGGTTAAGTATTTATAATAAATAATTGGTAGTTATTAAAAATACTCACTCGTATATGCTCGTCAATTGGCAGGGCATGGCCACACAACAAACAGCGTCGTCGGTTTGTTGCAAACTCAATCAAACCATACCTTTCATAAGGACTTCGGAAATAGTCATGATCGTTGATATAATCGCCCTGACTTGTGAATTTTGTAGAGATTGTACAGATGTTCTCATTCATCTCATCCCTAAAATAAATCACAATTTGAGTCCGATAAATTGATAAATAAAATTCTATATTATTTTTATGGAAAATACCATTAATATAATTTAACTACTCACAATTATTTAAGGAACGACATTGTTGGAGCTGGTAATTTTTTTTTCCATTTTCCACTGAATATACTTACAGAGGAGTTTTTTTTCTCACAACAGGTCTGATTTTTTCGATCCATTTTTTCTTTGGAGGTTCATCGTCGTCATCTACGCTTACTAGTCTAAACCTTTTCCGCTGTGTGCTCACATTGAGGTCTGGAATTTTATCTGAGACTGAGAGTGCAGGTTTTGCTGAAAGTGAGCTGTGTTACCTACTGGAGTAGTTTTGACAAAGGTTGTTTTTCAATTTATTTTCTTTAAACGCAATTTGGCCCCCCCTTTGTAGGGTCACTTACATAGGCAGGAATGTGAGAAACATGTTTAAATGTCTCTTTGTTCAGATGATTTCAAATTCAGAAGTATATTATGTTGCTAATTTGATTTAAAAAATTCGATTAAGGGCGGGTATTATAAAACTGCTTTGTTAGTTAACTTGAAGTTAACTTTTTGAATTACATGTAATTTCAGAAGTTAACTTTAAGTTAACTCTCAAAGTAGTTTTATAATACCCGCCCTAAGTCGTTTTAAGATATTTTTCAGTTTTTTTTTTCTAGCTGGGAGCAAAAATTCAGTCTTATATATTCAAAATATTAGTAATAAAACCACCTTACAAATAAGTATTACATAACTACCTAAATCACTAAATTTCATATTTTTTTTTGGATTATTGGCTCCTTTTTTTAATTCTTCCAGTTCCATAGAATCTACATTCTTCACATGGATGTATTCCGGCATATCATATTCTTCTGTAAGTTTTGAGGAAAAATATGCAAAATAAAACAAGATAATTTTTTCTGTTAATTTATTTACCGATTTCCCTAATATCCAGTAAACCATCCAAAGTTTCAGTGTCCATAGGAGTTTCACTTCCACTTAGGGTAGATTCATTGGATAGATTTAAGTCTGTATCTGAAAACACAATTTAAAAAAAAAAAAATAGGTAAGAGTTACATCTAAAAAATTAAAATCGGATTCCACCTACTGTGATCAATAATAATAATAAGTATAAAATAAGTGAATAAACAAATGTAAGTTAAATTTCTTTGATAAAGCTTCAATTAAACCGAGATCCTAATTTATTTATTTGAGTTCTTTGAAGTCTTCTAGTCAAAAAATAAAAACGAAACAACTTTACAAAGCCTAACAGTAAACACACTAACTTACCATGTTCAGGCAGATTGTCATTCAATGAATTTTCATCTGCATCTGATGTAGGTTCATCAAATACTGAATCTAAAAATATAAAAAATTATACGACTTGTGTTCGTGTGTACCGGGTGATTGTCTATATTTTGCACCCACACCTATCTCACCTGTTTGAGGAGATACCCAGAAATATTAAATCTGAAAGTTGAATTAGCCTTTCAAATCTGATTCCAAATATACTAGGTTTTTTAGGTTTATTCCTTATAGTCCAACCTCTGAATATCCCATTTTGATTGAAGAAATAATATGGATTTTTTACATGAATGATTACATTTATATTTTGCTGGTGGTCTCTATACTTCACTTTTTTCAATAAAAATGCAATTATTGCACCTCTATTTGTCCTATTTGCTCTTGGACTATTAGAAATGAACCTAAAAAACCTAGTATATTTAGAATCAGGTTTGAATATACGGGGTTTTCCATTTAAAAAAGTATAACTTTGCTTCGCCACACTTTTGTGACACACCCTGTATACTTGTAACTAACATCATTAAAAACTTTCTGATATTACCAACAACTTTCACATTTGACATTTCTGGGTATCTCTTCAAACAGGTGAGATAGGTGTGGGTGCAAAATATAGACAATCACCCGGTACATTGTCATTTAGTTCATAGTTGTGTAACCAATAAAAAAAACAGTGAAGGCCCTAGCGACTTTCAGTTCTTCTACCAAGTTCAAAGTCATCAAACACTAATTAAATATGTGACAAACTGAAAAGCTACTATAGTAATATCTTGATCGATTCGGACCATGAAACTTTCCTTCCAAATACAATTATAACTGTTCTATCACTTACCAATTGGTTCAAATCTTTGCAAAGAAACATCATCCTCATCATAACTCAAAGGTTCTTCCTTAATATCAATATCATCCTCTACAAAAATAGGTTCATTTTTTATTGCTATTAAAGGCTCCTCTGCCAGTGATTCTTCTCCAACACTCATTTCCTCATCCACTGGCAATACTTCCGTTGAAGTGTAAGAAGGCCCATCATCCAAATCATTTTGCACAAAAGTATTTACTTTTTCAATTGTTCTTAAATACTCTTCTTCATTGAAATATTCCCGTGGTTCTTCTTTAATACTTATTTCCTCATCCACTGGCAATATGCTCGCTGGAGTGTGAGAAGGCGGTAATCTTTTGATATAAATACGTCCCATGATGCCCATTTTCTTCAAGTGTTCTTTCGTCACTGGCACAAGTCCTGGAATTATAGGCGCATTGGATAATTCCGCATGGGGTGAAGGAACTTTTTGTCTCGCAACCATTGAATTCAGCACAAACGGAGTTTGTTTTGTGCCGTCGGGGTATTGGTTTGAACGCAAAGGTACAGGTGGGTTTATATGAATTTTAGTAAGTTCCATGAGCGGAGGTGGTTTCGGGAAGGAAGGATCTTGATTTGGGCTTTGCACTTGAGAGAAACCAAATATGTCTCTATGTTGAGGAAATAATTCATGGTTTAAAGTACGGATTTTTTTCAGGGATGATTCTGGTCGTACTCTTATTCGAGGCATTGCAGGTGCCGATATTTCAGAAGACGATTTTCCAAACAAACCTATAACAAGGAAAAAAAAATTATTGATTTCATTGGGAAAATGTTATTGCTCGATTTGTTACCTAAAGATTCTTGATTATTTTCTGTTTCTGGCAAGATTTCTGGATGAACTTCTGTTAAGGGATTTGCCATTGCAGTTGTTGATATTTTTTCAGTAGACGATGTTTCCGATTTTGAAGATTCTTGATTATTCTCTGTCTTATGTAAGGTCTCTAGATCATCTGCTGTTAATAAGGGAGTATTTCCCTTGTCAACCTGAACCACGAATTTTTGTCTAGTACCACCACTTTCTGGCTCTGCGCCATCCTCAACATCAACACTGTAGCCTAACAATTTGTTTTTTTTATCCAAAATTTTTCTCACAAGAAAAGTCTCATGACCAGAATGATTTCGCCTGAAATAAAGTTTTCAATGTTATTATTTTTCAAATTTGTTAATAATTAATGGTTGGCCCACTTACACATGCTCCTTAAACATATTGCTATTCTGTAAAACTGATAACATTTCTTTATCCACTTTGTTATTTTTCGGGATGTAATTTATATTTACAGGTACGTGTGGTGCTGGTAACAGCTTTGAAGCCGGGATTGTTTCTAGTGGCAGCGCAGGTGAGGCTGCTGGAGGTGGTTGTTTTAAAGTTGAAACATCAGAAGTAGGCTTGGGTGCTGAAGGTCCACTGTATGTGTTAACTGGTACTTGCAATACAAATATTCATTATGAAATATGTTATGAATAATAAAGAACTTTACAGAGAGCCTTAACTATGTTTTATTTTATATGTAGATTCTGTAACCGAACAGTATTTTGTCACAGACACAAGTAAATCCCAGAACACTACCGCAACCGGATTTGATGACGCTTGCTAAAACAGAGATAGAGTTTTTGTATTAGTCTCCAAGCTGGTCAATAATTTGGAGAATTATCAGCGTCACTTCATTTGAAAACTGGTTTAACCTTGTCCATTTATTAAGCAGAAAATTCGTAGTTTCATTAAGAGAATAACAGTTAACAATTTCTTTAAGGACTTCAAGCACCTCATTTACATTTATAGAGGAGAAATTACAAAATTCTGCACTGCAATTGCAACAGATTTGAGGTAATTTTGAGTTTCCTAAAAAGTCGAAAGCATTTGATTTGAAAAATTAGATTTTGTTTAGGAAGCTACTGTGACTGGAAAATAATGACATGCATATTACATGTTTAAACAATTATACATATTTGACTTCCTATGTGTAATACATTAAAAGTATAGTAGCAGCACATACATCTATGGGCTTCAATATAGCACAACATTTGAAAATAAGTTAGTTATTTGGGTGTCGATTGTTTGATGATTGGTTGTGAATTAACTTTATTTGAATTTGAAACACTTACCCATTACTCTAGTTTCCTTACTAATAGTCGCATCTTCAGCAATCTGATGCGAAGGCTGCTTTTCAAGCACTTTTGTAATAATTCTATGCCTCCGTACTGGATGCAGCTTAGGTCGTTCTAATTCTAAAATTGGTAAGAACGCATATTTGGTGTCATCACATACATAATAGGGATCTATTTCAAAAAACTCTTACTCTTTCCTGTATCCTTCATGATATTCGCAACAGTGTTGTTAACGGCTTGGTTCATGAGATCGTTTCTGATCCTGAATCCTATATCACCAGTTTTAGTTAAATATTTCTGGCACGATGGGGCAATCCTGCTGGTTGATATAAAATCTTCCGTTGATTTACCAGCAGTTAGTGTAGCTGATGTGACTGTATGAGCTCTATTTGTGTTTAATTCGGGCTGTGCTGATAAGGTAGTATTATTATTTTCAGATGTGCCTGGCTTGTAGTTCAAGTGCTCATTTATGTATGATAATCTTGGCTTTACAAATATATTTTTTTCAGCTGTATCTAATTTGGATAAACCTGCTTTGCAGTTGTCAGATTTAGGCTGAGCTTCTTTTGTTGCTAGTGGGCTTATGCTGGTCGATTTTTTCTTATATTGCTCAAAATGTTCAGGTTCTGGTTCATCTGTAATAAATTATAACATTAATATAGTTTGTTACTTTTGAGAACTTTGAACCAACAAAGTGTCTTAATAAATATTCCTCCAAAAATGTTTGCTTGGACTTCAAGTTACTATTACAATTCATGTTGTTACCTGATAATAAAGAGTAACAATTTCCTTCACCGTCATTGGAATCATCTGATTCGATCAACTCAGGCACATCATTAGTTAAAGATGTTTTAGACTGGCATGGATCAGTGGATTTAGGCTTGAAAACTCCTTTGCAATATTCGACTACATCATGAAGCCTGATATTGCCATAAGCGGTGTTGGTTTCCTTCATGTAGATACTGATCATTTTTTCAGATTGCAGACATTGAAGGCGAAAGCTATAAGCTTCGCGCAACGACTTGTAACATGGCATACATATTACTGGCTCCGCTGAGAGGTTTAGGCGCTGAAAACAAAATAGAATCTTATAGCTACAACTTCAAATTTTATTGTTTCACCGAGAGTTTTACACTCGTGATCAAGTATCGAGTACATTACCGGGCCTCAGTTGGAGAAATTGTGCATAATCTGACGACCTCGCACGACCACCAAATATAAAATCTCCGCCCCTTTGGACTAAGAATATCAAAGATAGCTCTTGGAGCCGAATTTTTTATAGTGGCTCCTTGAGGACTCTTCAAACCTTGAGGAAACGTGGGCGTTTAGATATGACACCCTGCTCAATTGGTAAGTGACCATTCCAAATTAACAACCCGCACGAAATAACTATGAACTATGAAGAAGCCCCAGTTTTGTATTTACCAATAGACTACCTAGCCTGACTTAGCCTCAACCACCTTTCGAAACAAGCTGGAATTAATTACATCATGCAAAATCCTCATCAGATAATCATATTGTATGCTGTTTATTTCCAATATTGTTGAAAATAAGGGATATTATAATGATATTTTAATAAAATGCTTGCATTTTTAGGGATTTATACTATACAGGGTGTCCCAGCTGAGAGTGACCCATTTCAAATGCTTATAACATAACTTTTAAACCAGGTGTGCTAGTTACCTGCGGTTTGCGCCATTCGTCTTTTTTTGGCCTAAAGTTTTCTTTAGTTAGTTGCAAATTTTTCTGATGGATACTTTTACAAAGTCAGTAAAAAAAATCATATTATTTTCCAATATCAAAATTCCCAACTGTTGGCCATTTTGCTCCAAGCATTTATGGTGTAGGATCAGTAAATGGTTGAAAGAATTGTGTAACATTTCCTAAGGAATTGCTTTGATGACATTACGAATGTTTCGCTCAATATATCTATGCTTTATACTGTCCAGGCTATTTGGCAAAGGATTATAGCACCTCTCCTTGAAATAACCCCAGAGAAACAAGTCTGGAACAGTCAAGTCAGGAGAGCAAAGGTTCCCATTCTATAGGACCAGCTCCTCTTATCCATCTTTCCCCGAATGTCATATCTAGTGATTCTCTTGATAATAATGAATAATGAGGTGGGGCACCATCCTGCTGAAAATAGATCTCATCATCCAACATACCCTCTAACGTGTAATAGCATGCGTTTGCAAAAATAGGTAAAGTTTGTTTCACCAGGGTTTGTACTTGCCACCAGCATTTGTCTTCCTTGATTAACAAATAAAAATTGACTTAAAGTATAACCATTAACAATTGAAAATCGCATCTCTATGGTGACGGTGACTACTTTAGAAAATTACTAACTAATTAGAAAAATACCCCTTATAATAATATAAAATAATTTTTATATTTTTATGCCAAGTCCTGGTACACTATAACAAAGACGCGGCACGCCAGCAAAAAAACTTGAAAATTGTTGGCGATGCCACTATTGACTACTAATAGCTCTGTTCCAACCTCAAGGATTCCAACACAGCAAACCGTACAATTTTCCTTGCGCAAAACCTGAAATTTGACTTTCCTATAAAGCAGGCTATAAACTCTTTTTTTTTTTAAAGATAATTCTCCAAGTCAAAAATTTAGTAACTATGTTGACAACACAAGCCTTTTCTACATAAAAAAATTGAAAGCATTGACAATTTTACATTGTATTGCCAACATAATGTCATTTTGACCACAGAACATATCACCTCTAGAAAAGTATCTGCAATGGTATGTACCGGTTATGAATTACGGCGCCCTCGTTGACTGAAAACCCAACTAATCGAGTATTCTTGACAAAAAGGCGAATTGATTTTTTCCATATATTTTTATTATTTTTGTATAATTTTTAATGTTCAACTGCATTTGGCTTGCTGACTCCTCTTAGCTCTTTTCGCCTCATTTTTTAAAAACTATGACTGGCAGGAAGTTTCCGATGTCGAACATAGTGCAAAAAGAGTTAGTAAGTTAGCAAGAGACACGCAGTTATAGGTAGATCACAAAGTAAATACGAATAATAAATACAAATACGAACGAAACGAAACAAACGAATAAATACAAAAAAATACGAACAAAAATTAGGTTTTTTTTCAACCAAAACATTTTCAATTTTCACTTTAACGCGCGTGGAAACCGTGGGGTACAACAACACAATTTAAAAATTCAAATTTTGACTTTTAAAATGACAAAATAAATGACAAAACCAACCAACACAAATCACTGTCCACACCACAGATACCTATAAATTTCTCTTATCTCCCGACAGTGTCGCCATCGTTGAATGAAAACCTAACTTAAAACCTTTGTCGCGATTCTTCCATTTGAGATATTTTTCTATAGGTGATATGTTCTGTGATTTTGACTTAATTGTACCTTAAAAAAAAACAGACTTTAGCATTCCCATACCGAACTCCACTATTATAATTGGGATTATAGCATGAATAATTTTTCCTTATGAAAATACAAGCTTGCAACACTGGCGGAGCTTATTGGCCATGTTAACTGATTTGACACTGAAAAGCAAGTTCACAAACGGGGTTTCTGAGAAATTCCACAACACTCTATAGTGCTCGATTTGGAAACCAAAAATGAGAACTTTTGACTTCGCCACTAGAATTTATATAATCAAGTTTCCTGAAATATACAAAGTATTCTATGGTAAATAGGTATACGATAGCAAACAGCGTAAATGGGGCAAGTTAATCAACTATTGGCGAACCACATGAAAAACATCGAATTGCAAGTGAAGAAACAATGAGTGAAACTTAAACAAGAATAAGAAGGCCGAAGACAAAAAGAAAAACAAGATGAGGAAACCTGAGAACGGCAAAGACACGTAAGGAGAAGAAGCACAAAAATCGACACGGAAAGAGAAAGAACATGCAGGCTTTTTTCTTACACTTTCACAATAACAAGAACAAGAACAGGAACGGCTAAACAAAAAGATCGGAGACCAAAAAACAAGAAGAACAGATCGGTTCCAGGACAATTTTAAATTTCAGCGAGAATGGATTCACCCCGTTATCTCTGAGGAACAAACCAGACTCAAGAATGCAATGCAATAAGTATTTGGAAAGTATTTGTCAAGAAATAGAACCTCTATCATTAGGAAGTTGAAGCAGGTCATCCGGAAGTTGGTACTGTTCGTCAGGATGTGGAACTGTCTGTCAAGAAATTGATAGTCTTCAGAACAAAATTTAAAAGTTGGAACTTGAGATTAGGATATGGGACCGCGGTATTGAAGTTAAGCAACCATCGTTACGACGATGTATCATTGTAGCATCTTTTGCCATCAGCGATACAGCTAATAATAGAAGACCGCTCCTTTGAAGGTTCAACTATGATTGAAACAAAGCAACTATGAATATACCAGCAGAAACCTGTCAGAAGTATACAAGAATTAGCAACCCGATATCCGTTCCGCCAGCTTTCTAACGAAAACATGATGCGTTTATTGATGCGATGAGAATTCAAATGCAAAAATTGCTTTATTGTGATAGAAATACATTTGTTGAACAAGCAGACCCAACCATGAAACTTATAGAACTACCATACCACTAAATACACTATTAACCAACAAGTCATAAATCGTCAATCCCCTCGCAATAAATTAGCGGGGGACCAAAATTTAAACAAAAGAGTACCTACAAAAATTCTGCTCGAGTCGTCACACAATATGCAACAGCAGAAATGGGAGACTAACAACTAGCGGCCGAAAATTTCATTAATGGAACTGGAGATGAATGTAGGTGCCGTACTCATAACCAAACCATCAAGTAGCAGTAAAGCTCTCATCAAAGCCGAAGCCGATCAGCGATGTGGTTGACGCGATTCCACTCCGCATGCGTCTTCTCCCTCCGCTCGTCTTCCTATGCAAAGAAGTGTGTCAACGTTACAGTTGTTAGTGATTAGTGGTCGTTCAGACACGTAGGATTTCGAATCTCCTCGTTGCCAGTCTTGTACGATCGGAAAGGATAAGCATAAGCCATGCGCACACCACGAAATCTATTGGATCTCGCATTCTAACCTTGAGTGAGAGCGCTATTATGGGCAGAAATAGAAAATCTCACGGATCTCTCCCGTTTGCATATTCATTTTCTGCCAACGTAATAGGACCTTCGGCTACATTCGTGTTTGTTCGAGCACAGCGTAGGCAAATTATGATTGAAGTGGACTAACGTTGGCAGTTTATAGAGCCTGCCTGGCGTTCGTGAAAATATTCTCTAAATAAATTCAGTTGGAAATTGGCAGTTATTGCTAGTTGTTGGCACATGTTTCAATGCGAAATGCGATAACGAATGAAGAAATACCGTTACTAAGAGTTTAAAAATTAATCATTGTGTCTATTTAAACGCCCCAGAACTTTTTTTGGCAGATATTTGAGTTAGTTTCGGTTAGTTTTCGATAGTATGGGTTATTTTTGGTTAGTTTGGGTTAGTTTTCGTTTAAAAACCGCACTAGGCGCTGTTCCTTCCTGTTTTCTTTTTTCAAGTAAAGACATGAAAAGTAGGTACCTAATCCAAATTAACCCAAACTGACCCGTCCTGAAAATCCGACCCAATCTCTGTTTCTATCAACCTGATAAAATAGCGAAAAAAGAGCGCTCATAAAAAATAGAGCGCGTGTATGTAGGTATTATTAAATTTTGATAAATATTATGAGTCACTGAAGTTGGCTTCTCTAGACGTTGTGCAACAGAAACACAATTCAGCCGAAAGTTCAGCTGAACATTTATTTTATTCTTTTATTTTACAGAAAAATAAATATGTAGAACCAAAAGAGAAAAAAGATCTTTTGTATTTTGAACTTTTCATATTTTCGACATTTTGCATTTTCGACATTTCTCAATTTCTACCTTTTGGGTTTTATTATTTCAATTTTTTTCTCGCTCACAATCTATATAAAATAGTTAGTATAAAAGGTCCATCGGGTAGTTCCAAAGACATCGGTAGTTTTATTTAACACAATATCATCCCATTGTTTTAGCTGAATTTTTCATATAAATAAAATTATTATCTTTAATCTTCCTTTGCTTTTAATAAAAAA